ATCTGGATTCAACGTTGCGTAGTCGTCTTTTGCAAGAAGAAGGTGTTAGTGGTTGGAGAATTTACCAGAATCCTGGAGATGCAGTGTTCGTTCCTGCTGGATGTGCTCATCAAGTGTGTAATTATACAAGTTGCATCAAAGTGGCTGTCGATTTTGTATCACCAGAAGGCGTGGGACGAAGTCTTATTATCAGTAAACAATTTCGTAAATTGTCTAGAGCGCATAAGAGAAAGAAAGATATTTTGCAACTTCCTGTTATTCTTTATCATGCCTGGACGACCTCATCTACTAAATAATACGTGATGATTAGATAGACATAAGACTAGTTCTTATAATAATTATAGCCAAGTTAGCTGTATCTTTTGTGCACTTGTTGGTAGCTCCTAATTTTAGAAATCTCCATGTCACCTCTCATCTTTTCCATCGCTTCATAGATTTAATTTCCATTGACTGAATATAACCAATCCTTTACAATTGTTTTGAATAAGATTTTGTTCATAATTTGTTGAGTAAATTAGAATTTACATAAAAACATAGATTTACTCAATTACCGTGAAATAAAACAAGCAGTGTTATAATAAATATAATTTGCAATGTTGATTTATTATTCTAGAAATTATTTTTTATAACCTTTAAAAGTTTCACTGATAATCTATTGATTTACAATTTTACAAATCATTAATGCATTAAAGTCTGTTTTAAAAAATTGATTTTTCAAAAAAGATTTATGTTGAAATTCGCCGTATTTGTTATCCGTCTCTTTGAAACAATGAGGAAGTTGAACATCATTAGTACGTAATCCTCCCAATTTCAAATCAGAGATATTAAATAAATTTAATATTATAATCGGGGACTTAAATTTTTATAAAGTCGCTTTACTAATAAACACAATTTTTAATATGGGGTCTTTGCTAAGAAAATAATCCTCCGGGACCATGCACATTTGATAAATTTTAAAATTGTTAGCCATCTAATTCTGATTTATATAAATTCTTTTGTAGAGCATGGTGGTGACTACGAAACAAAAGCAATTAGATCATTAAATAGTAAATAAATTTTAAGTCACCCATCAAGTCTATATAGGCCGGATGATTATTTTCCCAACAAGGACTCCATATATTTTTTTAAAAAAGTGAGAAACATATATAAAACTAATTGGTTTTTATATAACCCAGCCAAGAAATTTTTTTATGTCTATAATTAATTTAATTACATCAACTACATTAAATAATAAAATTTACATTTCTAAGTCATTGAACATATATTTTTTTTTCCTTAAAATTTTTTTTCGCCGAGATTTTATCGCTAAATTATATACTTTCAAATATTGTTCAAGAGGTCCTTGCGGTCGATTCCAACTCAACTTAAGTGCATCTTTGATCAAATCTCTTATAAATATTTCTTTTTCATGCAAATTATCGTTTAGTCGCTTATAGTCATTTATTACTGCAGTTAAAGCTCTTTTCATCCCTTCGACTGAATGGATAATATATGTTTTATCAACTAATCCAACTAATTCAAATAAATAAGAATTATATCTATCAGTTATATTGTCAGTGCTTTTATTAACTAAAAATTCTCTTAATCCTCCTACACCCGTGCTAACAACTGTGGCTCCAAATAATAACCCTTCGGCTGCAACTAAACCAAAACTTTCAGTAAGACTGGGTACAAATTGTACATCTGCTGCAGCACGATATAAGACACCCCAATCATTCTGAAATTCTAAATCATCAATTAAATTAAAGTGTTTTGGGTACTTTGATTGAAGTTTTTGCAACTGATTGATTGGAAAATTATTCTGCTGACCCATAATAATCAATTTAGCATCAAGCGCTGCCAGAGTCTCAACCGCTGTAGTAAAGAATTCTACACCTTTATTATATTGAAACCGACCGATAAATAAAAATATAGTCCTATTTACATCGTCAGCTTCTAAAAATCCCTCTTTTATTAAATGACTTTTAGCTTTAAATTTTGCATCAATAACAAGCTCCTGTGATGATGCATCGATTTGTTCCTCGATAAAACGCTCATAATCAAAAGTCATGATATTCTTTGGGTAATGTGAATCGGTCTCCAAGAGCATCATATCATCAAATGGGTTAAATTGAGTAAAATCCACACCATTAGTGATTCCAATCCAATGACCTTTTGATGCACGATGAAGAATACTCGGCATAATTAATTCCTTTGCACGAAAATC